GGTCTTGGAGCCGTCTTGGGGGCATCTTGGGCCATCTTGGAGGTTTCTGGGGGTCTCTTAGGGCTCTCTGGGGTCGTTTCGGAACGGTCTTGAACCCTCGTAGGCCGTATTGGGGCGATATTGAGGGCTTTGTGGGCCGTCTTAAAGCGCTAGTAAGCCGAAGAGGCGAGAACGCCAAAATCTTCAAAAAACAATGAAAATCATCAATTTTGGCTTGTTGGGGGCCTCTTGGGAGGTCTCTTGGACGCATCTTGGGGCGTCTTGGGAGCATCTTGGGCCGTCTTGAGGCCTCTTGGGGGCGTTATGAGGTCTCCTGGGGACGTCTTGCGGCTTAGAGCGCGAAATGTCCGTTCCGGTACCCCGTCGGGGCCCGGTTTTGGAGCCGTCTTGGGGGCATCTTGGGCCATCTTGGAGGTAACTGGGGGTCTCTTAGGGCCCTCTGGGGTCGTTTCGGAACGGTCTTGAACCCTCGTAGGCCGTATGGGGCGAGATTGAGGGCTTTTTGGGCCGTCTTGAAGCGCTAGGAAGCCGAAGAGGCGAGAACGCCAAAATCCTCAAAAAAGCAATGAAAATCATCAATTTTGGCTTGTTGGGGGCCTCTCGGGAGGTCTCTTGGACGCATCTTGGGGCGTCTTGGGAGCGTCTTGGGCCGTCTTGAGGCCATCTGGGCCGTCTTGGGGCGCTCTTGGCTTCAGGCTGCTGGGCCTGCCACATATTTGGCTGGCGTCTCCTTGGAGCGCTCCTGGAGCGCTCCAGAGGCCTCCAGGGCCGCGCCCAGGAAGTCCGGCATCTCTGGCCCCCACCCTCCCGGGGACCTGCCGGGGTACTTTTCGCCCGGGGACTCCTAGGGGCCGCCCCGCGCGCGCGAACTAGAAATACTGTTTACCTGTTACTGGAGATCTTAGCACGCCCTGGCCCGTTGGGCCGGCGAATTTCCTGGCTCACAAAGCTGCTCGGTTGCTGGATGTGTGTAGTTGGGGACCCAGACAGCGAATCTGTGCGGCCATTCCGACATCGGCGACGTCGGCGATGGCATGGCCTCACAGAGTGCAGATGGACCTGCTGGCCAGGCAGCATTCGGCGCTCTGGTGCAGGCCGGCGGATATTCAAAATTGCAATCGCGATGGAGGCCAGGCCGACGATGGAGGAGAGTGGAACAAATATTCTCGCATTAGGGCATTGGATTCGATATCCAGTTGCCTGCGGCGCCTCCCGCCACCGTGCCAGTCCAGCAGTCACGGCGGCAGCTGTTCGAATCGATGAGGACGATGAGGACGATGACGATGAGATGATGAAGAGGATAAGGAGAAGATGAGGGTGATTGCGGCGGATCATGGAGATGAATAGTTGGTTACGATGATGTTGAGGAGGAGGAGGAGGACGAGGATTGTCGTGATGAGCAGGATGATGATGGTGATGATGATGCCGATGATGATGGTGATGGTGCTGGTGCTGGCGATGGTTTGATGGTGACGATTGCCGTGGTGGTGATGAGGATGAGGATGAGGATGACGAGGCGGAGGAGGAGCAGGGGGAGGAGGAGGAGGAGGAGGAGGAGGAGGAGGAGGAGGAGGAGGAACAAGAGGAGAGCCGTCACTTGTGGCACCTTTCATTTTCACTTCTCGCGGGCTCTCATTGACCTCATTTGGGTCGTCGTGTGGCCAGCCTTGGCTCCTGCGGGGCAGGCTGGGTGGTCATTTGGCGCCGTCTTGGGGCCCTCTTCGTCCGTCTTGGGGCCCTCCCATGCCGCATTAGGGCTCTCTTGGGACGTTTGCGGCTCTCTTGGCTTTATGGAGGATGTCTGGGGGCGTCTTGAGGCCATCTTGGCGCCGCCTTGGGCCCTCTGAGGCCGTGTTGACTCCCTCCAGGGGCCCTCTACAGGCAGCTTGGGGCCGCCTTGCAGGCCTCTTGGGCCATCATGGGGTCAGCACTGACCATCTTGGGCCTCTCACGGGGGCTCTTGAGGCCATCTTAGGGGCTGCATGGGCCATTCTGAGCTGATGGAAAGGCGAGAATGCGACAATCTTTCAACCACTAATGGAACATCGCTGAATTTGGCCTCTTCGAGCCCTGTTCGGGGTCCTCTTGTGGCCCTCTTGGGTGCATCCTGGGCTGTCCTGAGGCCATCTTGGGCCGCCTGGGGGCCATCTTGGGCAGTCGTCGAGGCATCTTGGGCCATCTCGGCGGCCTGGGTTGCCTGCCTGGGCCTTCTCAGAAGCTGAGGTAGCGTATCGTCAGTTGTTTTTGCGATATGACGGAGAGCTGCTTGGTAGGGCTTCTGTTTCAGAGTGCAGGAAAAATTTGCCAGGCAGCCCTTGGCATTCTTCCACGCCTCAGCGTGCACGGGGCACGGTGGCGGATCTCGAGCGGTCTGGAGCCTGAGAGGGTTCGCACATGGCCACCCCCACACCCAACTCCTCGAGGCCCTTGCTCCATCTTAAGCGGGTCAACGAGAGCAAGCCAAACATGGGAGGGCGGACCGAACATCAGAGCACGTTCGGCCGGCCTGGTTGGACATGAGAGCATCGCTCGTGGCGAGTCGAGGATCGCATCGATGTCTAAGTCGGTCGGCACAGAAGTTCAGGCTGCGCGCGTTCCCGGACTTGCCAGAAGCTGGGCTGCGACGCCGAGAGGTTGATCACTCTCACCGCGCTGTGGGGTTCGAGCGTGCCACGCCGCCGCCGGGGCCCACACAGGGCCTCGATGGGACCCTCCTCACTGGCTCCATGGGAGGGGGGTGCTCAGGAGGAGACGGGGGGAGACCGTGATGGGTTTACGCTGGCTGTGATCCAGATGCAGGCAGCATGGACCACGCGCGCGTCGCGGTGTCACGATGCCACGATCGCATGCTACACGCTGCGCCACGACGCGATCTTAGACAGAAAGAGAGAGAGCTAGAGAAAACGAGAGAGGCAGAGAGAGAGAGAGAGTGAGATAACACGAGAGAGGTAGAGAGAGAGAGAAAAGCAACACAACGACTGACAAACAGATCCTCATCCTCATCATCCTCAGCTTCTGCAAAGAGGAACCGAGGACTGGAGAACGAACCGAGGATCCATAGGATTCTGCCCTATCTCGGGCCTCTGCCCCCCCTCGGGCCCCTCGGGCCTCTTGCCCAGGGTCTCCCGGCTTCCCTCGCCATTTTGGAGCCCCTGGGGCTTGCTGGGCCTCGGGAGGTGTGCTCTGGAGCAGGGCTGGACCGAAACGCTGTTTTGCTGGACTTCGGCGGTGTTTTGTTTTTTTCGTTCTGGCTGGGAGGTGACTGCAGGAAAGCGGGTCGAGCAACACGAAAAACAAAGCGAAGGCAAAACGAACAGCAACGTTTAGGTCCAGCCCTGCCCTGGAGGCCGCCGGGGGGCTCTGTAGAATCCTAATCCTGGGGCACTCTGGGGGGCAGGAGCACCTCGGCAGCACCTGGCTCTGGGAGCTTCGCTTTGGGGCCCTGGGGCCGCCACAGAGCCGGTCGCTCCGAGGCGAAGAGCTCGGCTGCGCACGAGGGGTGGGCCTTCGCTGGAGTGACCGTGCGGGCCCAGCGCAGCGGCCGGCGCGCTTGGGGTTGAGGCCCTGCGCGCCCCCGCTCGAGCCGCGCACCCAGGTCGGGTATAGCCAGGACCCCAGGTATGGGGACCCAGTTAGTGGTAGGGCCCCAGAGGTTGTGAATTGGCCAGAACCACTAGACCAGGTTCGCCATAGCTGGTGCTCTTTCGGGTGACGGCAGTTCCGGTTAGTGGAACTCGGACGGGGGGGCGCCCCCGGTACAGATCTTGGTAGTCCCCAAACGTGGTGGTGACAACACCTGGCGGTGAGTCTCGGGCGATTTGGTGTCACCACCCGGTTTGGGGACTCCTGCGGTTTTCCGAGGATGTCCCGGACATTGGTGGGTCCAGGAGTCACAACACCTGGGGGTGACCCCGCGTCCCCAAACCCAGCGGTGACCTTTTTGGGGATTCCAGGTCACCACCTGATATCTCACCACCTGGTTTGGGGGCTCCCACAGATCACTAAACCTTCGGATGCAACTCCTGGGAGGTTAAATTCTGACTTTGCCCTGGTCCGAAAACCGGCTTAATCCGGCTTAATCCCGCTTAATCCGGCTTAATCCCGGTTAATCCCGCTTAATCCGGCTCAATCCCGCTTGATCCGAGGCCCATTCTGGCTTAACAGCCCCCCAATGGGGCTTAATCCTCCTTAATCCTTCCGACGAAAACCTCCCAGCAGTTGCCTCCTAACTAAACCAGGTTCCACTACACCCAGTTCTGCAAACGCCCGACCAGGGGTCGCTCCTTGCGCGCGGCTGGCAAGGCCCGCCAGCCTGGGTCCCGGGAGGGGGGCCCGCCGTGGCCGCCGTGAGCGGGTGCCCGGGGCAGAGGAGAGGACGGCGGGCCCTGAGGGCCAGGGAGGGAATCCTCCGCCTCCTCTTCCTCCGCCTCCGCCTTCTCCTCCTCCTCCTCCTCCTCCGCCTCCGCCTCCTTCTCGTCCGCCTCCGCCTCCTCCTCCGCCTCCGCCTCCGCCTCCTCCTCCTCCTTCCCTCCTCCGCCTCCTCCTCCGCCTCGAACTTCGATCCTCGATCTCAGTCCTCCACCCTCGAGCTTCGTCTTATCGTGGGAGGCTCGCGCGGACTGTTCGGCTCTGCGCTTGGCCTCCTCGGCGGCGCCTCTGGCTCCGCCCCTGGCGCGCCTGGCGCGCTGCGCGCGCCAGGGGCGGGGCCCAGGCCGACGTTGACGACGACGACGAGGACAGCGACGAGGAGGAGGAGGGGGAGGAGGAGGAGGAGGAGGAGGAGGAGGAGGAGGAGGAGGAGGAGGAGGAGGAGGAGGAGGAGGAGGAGGAGGAGGAGGAGGCGGAGGAGGAGGAGGAGGAGGAGGAGGAGGAGGAGGAGGAGGAGGGGGGAGGAGGAGGAGGAGGAGAGGAGGAGGAGGAGGAGAGGAGGAGGAGGAGGACGGCGACGAGGGCAGCCGCGGCGGCGACGCCGACGGAGCCCCCGCGGCGCTCCGCCCGAGGAGCGCCCGCGCTCCCGCAGCGGCTGCGGGAGCTCCAGGTCCTCGGGGGGGGGTTCTGTTGCATCCTCGGGGGACCTCGCCTGTCCCAGGAATTGGTGTCTTGTTGGGGGGCCCGACGCGTGCTCGATGCGGACTCGACGCGGATTTGGCGTGGATTTGACGCGGATTCGACACGGATTCGACACGGATCCGACGCGCCCGACATGGATTCGACACGGATTCGACGCGGACAGGGCCGCGACGGGACAGACAAGGCCCTCCGAGGATGCAGTAGAAGGGGTGGGGGGCGGCCGTGGCCGGGACCTCTCCTCCCAGGTCCTCCTCGCGACCCTGGCCCCTGCCATGGGGGAACGACAGGTGGCAGAAGCATAAGAAACCTCGGAGGACCGCGCGGATGTCTCGGATCGGCGCCTTTGGGGCCCGATCCGGCGGCGCTTCCGGCGCCGCCCCTGGCGCGCTCCGCGCGCCAGGGAGGGGGGTCCAGCGCCGATCCGAGAAATCCGCGCGGACCTCCGAGTTTTTATGTTTATGTGGCGTTCTGTTCCCCTGTGCCAGCCCAAGTCATGGGGGAGGTTAGGGTGTCCCTTCACGGGTGCCCTGAACGGCGACATTGAAGTCAGCTGCTTCTGCAGCTCGACCGCTTTGGGCCTTTCCCCCTCGCCCTTCCTCCTTCCCCTCCCCCCCTCCTCGTTCTTCTCGTCTCCCCTGGGAGGGGGGGGGGGCGAGTCAGGTCCCTCTCCAACTCCGGTTCCAAATGTGTTTTAAATCCGGTTCAAATCAGGCCCAAATCGGACAGTGCCAAGGGCCACGTGGGCCCCCGTGGAACGGGCACCAAACAGGCCACTGGGGAGATGCCAGCCGTCGCCTCGGAGCCCAGCGCGGACTCAAGACATCCGCGCGGGCCTCCGAAGGCGTATGTTCATGCATTGTTTTTGTTCGCTTTTCTTGGGACGGGGGGGACATTCGGACGGGGCCAGGACGAGGATGAGTTCGTTCCAGAGCGTTCCAGGACGCTCGCAGGACGCTGCGCCCGAGGCATCCTCCAGCGCCGCCGGATATCAGAGTTCCTCGTTTCACAGTCAACTCGCATAGTAAGGACAAACGACTTTTTCAAGGGTGCCCTTGGGTCCTTACCTGCCTCAGCCTCTGCGGCCCGTCCCTAGCAATTTTCGCAGGCCAGTTTCTCAGGTTCCCTGGGGGTCTGGCCGCCTGCCGCCCAGAATGCTTCAACTTCGGCCTCCACGGGTCTTGCGTCCTCACCACGCGTCCTTCCTACACGTTTTCCCTGTATCCTCACCCGATTTTATCATCGTCCTGGCTTCGTGCAATCCCAAGGGGTGTCCCGGTCGCGACAGCGCAATGGGGCCGTCGGGCCGACGGCCGCCGGGCGCAGCTGCTCTTCACCGCCGCCCGCCAGATGGATATCGGGCTGGCCTCCGGCCAGTGCCGCCGATCCGGGGGGGGGGTGAGAGCGAGGGGAAGACGGGGCCTGGGGTACCGAAAAAACGTCGGAAATGACGTCGGAAATAACCCCTTGTACCGAAACACGTCGGAAATGACGTCGGAAATAACGTACGCCCCCCCCCTCCCCCTGCAGAGCGAAGCTTGAGCGAGCTCAAGTCCACGCTCTCAGAAACTCACACGCCGGATGGGCGGATTTGTTCCCGAGCCACTTCGACGCTGTGGCCGGAAAGGCTCAGGTGGGTGGGTGAGCAGAGTTTGCCGCCCTTGGTGGAGAACTAAGTCAAGCAGATCCGCACCCCCCCCCCCCGAGCATCGGGCCGGACGAACGGGGGGGATTGGGAGAGGGCGACAGGCTCCCGACCGCCGATCGACGCCGAGTGCGGGGGGTTGGAACCGGACGCCCCCCCCCCCTGGATGGAGGGGGCGGGGGGTTCGAACCCCCCCCCCTTTCGTGACTGAAGGGGGGGGTTCAGACCCCCTCCCCTCCCGTGACGGGGGGGGGGTTCAAACTCGGTCCAGCCTTTGCGTCGGCGGCGGCTGGCGACGGCGGCGGGGCCGGCGCCGGCCGGCGCTTGCGGCGGCGGGCGGCGGTGGCGGGGAGCGTCGACGAGGACGATTGCGGTGGTGGTGGTGGTGGTGGTGGTGGTGGGTTGTGGTGGTGGCAGCGGTGGTGGTGGTTGTGGTGGTGTTTTGGTGGTGGTGGTGGTTGTGGTGGTGGTGGTGGTGCTGGTGGTGGTTTGGTGGTGGTGTGGTGGTGGTTTGTGGTGGTGGTGGTGGTGGTGGAGGTGGGTTGTGGTTGTGGCGGTGGTTTGTGGAGGTGGTGCTGGTGGTGGTGTTGGAAGGGGTGGTGGTGGTGGTGGTGTGGTGGTTTGTGGTTGTGGTGGTGGGTTGTGCTGCTGGTACTGGTGGTGTTTGCGGCGGTGGTGGTGGTGTGGTAGATTGTGGTGGTGGTGGTTGTGGTGGCGGGTTTTTGTGGTGGTGGTGGTGGTGGTGGTGATGGTGAGTTGTGGTGGTGGTGGTGGTTGTGGTGGTGTGGTGGTGGTTTGAGGTGGTGGTGGTGGTGGGTGGTGGTGGCGGTGGTTTGTGCACGTTTGTTGTGGTGGTGGTGGTGGTGGCGGTGGTGGTGCTGTTGGTGGTGTTGGTGGTGTGGTGGTTTGTGGTGGTGGCGGTGGGTTGTGCCGCTGGTAGTTCTTTTGGCGGTGGTGGTGGTGGTGTGGTAGATTGTGGTGGTGGTAGGGGTGGGTTGTTGTGGTGGTGGTGGTGCTGATGGTGAGTGGTGGTGGTGGTGGTTGTGGTGGTGGTGGTGGTGGCTGTGGTGGTGGTGGTGGTTGTGTGGGCTGCTGGTAGTGGTGGTGGTGGGTTGAGGCGGTGGTGGTGGTGGTAGTGGTGGTGGTGGTAGTGGTGGTAATCGTCGCTGCGTCCCCGCCGTCGCCGGCGCTGGCGCTCCCAAGGCAAGCCCCCGTGAAACGCGTTCTCTCTAACATCACCTTCCCCAGGAAATCTTTGATCCCCCCCGCCAGACCCCCGAACTTTATTACCTCCAGGGGTTATCGGGAGCATTCGGTTAGTCAGTGTGCATATGGGCCAACTGATGTTGGTGGGCAAGGTCTGCGGCGTGACCTGCGAGGCGATGGACATCGCCGCGCGCGCGTTTGTGCGGCCAGTCATCGGACGTCAATGGCTGAAGCCATCTGATGGCAGGGTCGCCAGGGCGTTCGGCCCGAAGCGGGCCGAGAGCCATTGGGGCGCCGTGTGATTTAAGTTCTTGGCATCCGAGGGCGTTGGCCTAATCCCGTGGATCAAGCATCGCGTTGGCAGTTGCCTCGAACTCATCGCGGTTTCTCTGTGCGCACGCGGCGCTTCGTGCAGCTCGCCGGCGCTGCGGAAAGCTTCCATGCCACCACCCGCTCGCCAGTCGGCACTTGGGCGCTGCGGCATCGATGCGGCGCTCCCGAAGTTTTATTTTGCAATCGCTTCGCTCACTCCCGCCCGTTCCCGCGGAGGTGACACTGCAGCGCTGGTGCGTCTATGGTAGACCATGCTCTAGCACATATACATACATCTCTGGGTACAGCTATCCTCAAGTAGAACTGCGGACTGGAGCCGCGCCGCGATCAGACGGCGCTCGATGTGTCGGGGGCGGGAAGGGGGTGCGAGGACGAAGGCCGCGGCGACGAGGGCGCCTCGAGTAGGCAGGGGGGAGCGGATTGGACTCGATGGCGGCAGCGAGGGTGGATCTGTCGAGAGCGAGGGTGGCTGCCGCCGCCAGGACGTCGGCGAGAGTTGACTTCAGCGCGGTTGTCGCCTCCAGGATGAGCGCAGGTTCCCACCCGCACGCTCACGTGGAGCGTGGACGCGCGCTGGGGCGGAAGCACAAGGTCGTTAAGAAATGCGCGAACCATGCCGTTGCCACG